TCAGCAGTCTGTCTCAGCGAATACGACCCCTGGCAAGCCCATGCTGCAGGGTCAGTCAGTGCCAGGCCACGGGGCACGTTTGTGACAGAGCTGCACTGCTGCAGCTGCAATAGCTTTCACCTAGTGATTTTTTTTTTAGCCTTGGCAAGTCACTTCCCTGAGGGGAAGACCACATTTTACCCGAACGTTCTTATTTCCAGACAGCTGTCAAAACAGGTATGTTAAATATACGTGCTAGTAAACTCCGTATCACTTCTCCCATTTAAACCATGGAGCTGCGGGAATAAAAATTGTTTGCCCTAATAAGTATTTCCACTGTCATGCAGTGAAAGTGTAGCAACATAGAAAATATTGTGCAATGCCAATTTGTCTGGCACGACCTACAGATATTGCCATGGTGTACATCAGTATCCTATGCCAGGAGAGCAGGGCTCTGTGTAGCTGGAATCTAATCTTTACGTAAACCAAGGTGGTTGCCACCCAGTAGAAAATGATGCTTTGACCTTGTTGGCCATTAGGACTATGGACTTGCTGACCTTCTGTCTAGCACCAGTAGGCTGCAGGAGCTGCATCCTTACAGGAAGCTATTTTAGGCTGTTTAAAGAGCTTCAGCTCTAGTTCTTCTGACACAGGGCAACCTGGTTTTCCCAGCTAGGGACAAAAAGAACTGGCAAAACTAACTTAGTTAATTCCTAAACCTTTCTTTTAAAATGAAACAAACTCACAGGCTTAAAAAGACCTGTGCAGTGTGTGGGGCATAGACTGTCAGCCAGGGTGTATGAGGGAGAGGGGGGACGTGGGTGTGTGCGGAGTGAGACTCTGGCGTCACCTCTGACTGCGTTGGGCTGGGCATCCTGGCACCGAGTATGGGCACAGGGTCAGTGAGTCTAGTCCTCTGGGAATTGTACTTTCTTTTCCTGGAGTATCTGATAGATGCACATCTCAAGCAGTTGCTTGTCTCTGTCCTTGTACAGTTCTTGTGTGCCAGATAGAACTACACTTCCATTTGATAAAATATTTTTATCCTCATTCTCTTGTCTGGAGCTCACTGCACATGTCTACTCTGTCCTAAACACAAAAGGACAAAAAGGAGCACAGGAAGAGAACAAGAACCTTCCCAGAATATTGTCTGGGTCCATTTGTAGCACCCGTCAGCCCACTGCCTGCCTGCCTGCACAGCTGAACGGGTGATCTGAGGTTTGAACTCCCAGTTATGTAGCTGTCTCCAGTCCAAGCTGGCTCCTTCACGGAAATTCATGCAATCATTTGTGGTGTTCTGCATCAAGCCTGGAAGTTCAGGAATATTACAAGAGAGATCACAACTTTACTTGTATTTGGACCCCTCCTCTTCTTGAGTTCTGTCCGTCAGCCCAGGAGCTCACAGTCAGCCTCGCTGCCATTGATTTAAAAGAAAAGTCTAAATACTCCCAGAACCTACTGAAGATAGTTGCAGTATTTGTTGATATCTCACCAAAAGTTGTACTGAGGGTATCCCTCATGCATCTCAGTGTTCATGTTGCAGAACCAAACAGCGTCACAGCACTCTGTAAGCAGCGATCACTTCAGCATGCCAAGATAACCTCGGTGCCCAGGTCTCCATCTCACTTAATGTAGAAAGGACAAACAGGAAATAGCCAGTCGAGATTCAGTTACTTCTGTCACCATCCAATACTTGGTTCCTATGTCTTAGAAGAAACTCAGAAGTTGCTTGGATAGCGAAGAACAATTAAGACCATCCCTTACAAAAATAAGCCAAGATAATGGCTTTAAGCCACATGGCTCTGCTTTCACTGTGTAGCGTTTTTCTTGGGGAAAGGTTTCTGGACAAGCTGCCAAGGAAACAGTAGGAGGAGTTGAAATCACCCATCATTTGATTCAGAGTCTGGGTCTCTTACCTTGATGACTGATGCAGAGAGAAAGATGGTGTGATGCTGGCCCTATTTTCAGGTACCAGAAGTGCTGTGTGAAGCCTGCAGTGTTACAGCTCATTCACAGGAGAAATGTAGAGATGCCCCACTGAAGAGATGTTTCCCTGTTCCAAGGCCAAAGCTTGTACTCATGGTGATTTTTGCCTCCCTGAAGAGAGCAATGACAGAGCTCCTTGTGAGAAAGCATCTCAGCCACAGCACTGTAAAAAAAATAGCATTCTCTTAGCTTTTCAGAAAAAACAGTTTCTATTCTTCTTACCTCTTACAACAGGTAGGACCTAGTGAGAGCTTCTGGGGGACTGTTCTCCTATTCACTATTTATTGCTTTGGTATCCATCTTTCCTTTAACTGCAAGTACAGGCAAGGTCTGTCTCGTGCTATATTCCTAAGGCAGGGATTGTTTTTAGTCTGTAACCACTCCCTTGGGTGGTTTCTATTCCTGCTTTTGGAAGAGAAACTGCAGTCCCTGATGTAGTCCAGGTCCTGGGTAAAGTACTACTAGGGTAAGAGGCTTCTGGTTTCAAAGAAGAAAAAGGGCATGGGTCATCATCGTTCTTCTCCATGTGCTTGGGAACAAGTATCTCAAATTTTCTCATTTGCACCGCTCACAGAATGAGCTTTCGATACCTAGAGTAGATACATTACTATCGGTATGGTATTGCTGATGAGTCTATGATAGTCCTATAGTGGAGGCTTGTCCATGGGAAGTTGAGGATCTAAATGCATTCATATCTAAAAGGCTAGGTGACTTGGGAAAATCTTTCTAGGAATCTGTTAATTACCAGTATTGTGCATTTCCAAGCCACAAACTCAGCTGCTCTGAGCCTTATGTTGTCTGCAGCATGTATTTGGACACCTACAGGACTCCAGATCTCAGTGGCTTCCTTGCTATGGTACATCACTTTAATCATCTTTGCATGCATTACCCAAAATGCGGCAACAGCTACCTGGGAATATGCATGAGGTTTCACAGTGTTAGCTTCGCCTATGCCTCTTTGTGTGCTTGCCCCAATTCTCTGCAGTCAATCAATGTCCCAGGGGCCCTGTGGTCCCTCAAAAGTCCAGTCATTTTAAACCAATGACTAGGGGTCTCATAGACAAGTAGGTACAGTGTTTTCAGTATCTTTCCCCACTAGGGCCCTAGAACCTGAGCTGTACCTCAAGTCTGAGGGACTCACAGTAGTTGCCTCAAGACTTGGGTTTCCTGCAGGTGGAGCTCAGAGCTGTCTGATGGCATTCTGCTGCTTACAGCCAATGCCGCCTTACACACTGTGTCAGCAGAGAAGAGCAAGACCCTGCCATCTGAGCAGAGACCTCTTCTCCCTGGAATTGATGTATACCGTACCCCAACATGCCTATAGCTGTCCATTTACCTGGTTTCCTAGACATTTTGGCAGGTTAGCTTAGCGGGTGGATGATAATAGCTGGGTTGCTTGTGCCTCTGCAACTCCATCTTTTATGTTGTCTTTCACAAATAGGGATTCCCCACCACAGAGCCTGTTTTAAGACACAGATGAACTGAGTGGCAAGTATTTAGCTGAATAAAGGACAGGAGTCCAGGATCACTAGCAGACAAATTCCCATATCTGAACTCCTGAAGCTACTCTGTACTTCATTCTGGCTTCAGAGCCTGTAAAGCGTCCAGAGATTCCCACCTCCAGGCTGTACACCTTGCCAGCTTTTGCTGAAGTTTGGGCAGGACAAAAGAAACTGCATGCGCTAGGCATTGGGAGTTACTTTGACCAAAGGCATGCGGATTTTGCCAAAGCTGTGAAGAGTCAGTGAAGCTATAGTACAGCATAAGAAAGAAGTCATTGTATATTTAGTCTATGTACTTGCTGGGAATTTTTTAAGAAATGTATATGAAAAAAAGTAGCTATCACAGATATTCTTGTAGAACAACACCTTTTGATCATTAGTAACACTGAGCAGGACTCCTCCTTGCCACCTAGAAATGCACACGCATCTTATGTGTGATATGCAGAGCTGCTCTGCAATTAGATGTTTGCAAACAGACACTTTCCCCCCGTTGAAGTGACAGAGACTGTGGGTGCCTGGCTCTGCAGGAGAGGGGCTCGCAGCCGGATGAGCCCGCAGCACAGCTCCCTGGTTGTTTCTGGTCTGTGCTGCATGCCGATGAGCAGGGCCTTGTCTGTACTGCAGAGTTCTGTCTGCACCCTGTGCTCTGGGTGACCATCCTGCCTGATTCCATCCAGTGTGGTTCGTGTTGGACCCCGTTCTAACAGAAATTGCTTCCTTCCTTTCTTTTCCCACCCTCCCTTCCCCAGCTGATAACAAGACGAAAAAGAAAGTAGCTCATCGGGACAGGAAGCAGGACTTCTCTGCCTTCAAGCAGACAGACAGCGAGATGAAGGTTAAAATATCACCGCAGCTCCTCCTGGCAATGCACCGGTTCCTGGCAACAGGCAAGTGCGGGGTTATCTTTTTTTGCCATCGTGCCAGAGCCTCAGAGGCAGTTTGTCAGCAAAGGCTGGTGAGGTGGGTGGGACAGTGCAGGCGGGAAGGGAGGCTGGATTGTGGGGTGACAAATAATGCCACTGTTGTATTTTTCTTTTTAAATTCTCTCCTCTCCTGTGTTCAGTGTCGGCATGAACCCTCTGAGACATTTACCAGGGGTGGACCAGTAACTTTAAATTGGTCTGAAAGGTAAGGATGAATGCCAAGTGCCGCACTGCATGTCTAGAGTCCGTCAGATTAACGACTAGCAAGTACACCCCATTAGGAAGAGCTCAGGGAACAAACCAAAGAGGACTCGATACCACTGGCCAGCTGACTGTAATTGCACTCTGGCGCCTTCTCCAGAAAGAGATGCTGGACTTTTTGCAGGAAGGTCTAAACCTGTTCCATGAGACTTTTTGACTCCAAGTGAAAAACTCTCCTGACACGTTTAATGCAGACTGCGCAGGCGGTTGAACTGTACTTTTTAAAATGGATTTCTGGATGGCTTGTGTGACCTCCGTTGATGACTTCAGGTTTCAGAGGACAGTTGTCTCCATCCCAGAACACCTTGATGGTTTAGCCCTTGGGTGGGCAGTCTGGCAGAGAGGCCAGGGCCTTGAATGGTTTCTTGCAGCTGATATTGCCTTTCGTCGTAAAGTTGGTCCTTTCACCTCAGAGATGAGACCCGTTAACAAGAGAGCTTGTGGAAAACATACCTTCCTATTGCTCGTGCTGTCTCTCTTTGACATATAAAGACTTTTCACATGCAGGCCTTTCAGACGGGCGTTTTTCACTGCTATGTTCAACATATATTCATGGGTTGAAAATGATAAAGTTGTTTTGTCTCAAGTTTGCCAGCACCAGTTGAAAAATAGTACTTCCCCTCCTCTAAGATGCACTAACTGCCTGCCTATATGCTCCTAGTCCACCTTCATGCTTTATTTTGCCTCTGTGACTTGAAAAAAACATGTACGTGATCGGTTATCACATCTCAGCTGAGGGGCAGTAATTCCTTAAAAGGCTTGGACTCCTACGGCTCATGTGCACGTGAGCATGTCCTTGGTGAAAGGAAGCAGTTCAACAGGAAGATGCGGATTTAACAGCAAGCAAGGCGTTGTTCGTGTAGTGGCACAAGACTTGATGGAGTTCCCTAAACACCTGCTCAACATAGTCTTACAGTGCCGCTTCTCTACTTGTTTTGTGGATGTAAGGATTGTGTAGCTTAAATACAGATCTGTCTGTGAAGCCACTGCTAAATAAAGCTCCAGTTTCAGTTTCTCTGTTCTAAATTGAGAACAGTATCTTTAGCAGATGAAAGGTACTGGGTCATTGATGGTCCTGTTCTGAAATGAGGTGTTAGGAAAGCTTATCAATTTGCATGTGTAAATCTCGACGTCCCTGGCTTAACTCTCCCACACAAGGATGAGCTTTTCTGCTTCAAACAGCTTCTGTTGGGAACACTGAAGAACAAGTGGATAGGGGATGTGTTCTGTGTGTCAGGCATTAATCCCACATGGTTTGAACTGACCTGCACTGTCTCTCACTTTGAGTAACTCTTCCCGTAGGAGCCGTGGCAGCCCCAGTTGTGTCTTTGATTGATGTAGAACATCTATCTAGAGCAACTTTTTAGACCCCAGATAGTGATTTTTTTTTTTTTTAAAGTGCAATAAATGCAATAACTCGAATACCGTTTGAGGAAGGAAAAAACAAATTGAAAGGTTCTCTGTGTCCCAATTGTAAAGCTCCTCCATTTATACAACTCTCCAATGAGCCTATACAACTGTGACTCTGAACTCTCAAGAGGGCAAGACTGCCTTTTTCTTTTCCCTTTCAGATGAAGACATGGGTTTTGGTTGTTTTGAAAAATACTACAGTAACAAAAGTTGTTTTTTTCCTGGTTTTTTTCCCCCTCCCATACAAATCTAACAGTCTCAAAAGACAGGAAGCCTGCAATTCCATAATGGATCTCTCTGCATCTGTGTGTCTTTTATAGGCAAATGCTTATTAATGAGTATTGCTAACTTCTTGCTAGGCATATGAGGTGTAATGCCAAGTTGTATCTTGTGTTATAGAAGTAGAAGCATTTGGTCCATCCCAGATGTCAGAGAAGATCCTTCTCAGGCTGCTAAAACATCCCAACGTCATCCAGGAGCTGAAATACGACGAGAAGAACAAGAAAGCCCCAGAACACTACCTCTACCAGCGAAACAAGCCCGTCGACTACTTTGTTCTCATTTTACAGGTCAGACATATGATTATGTCGATATTTGCAAAATCCTTCATCTCCTGACATATCACTCTCTATACCTCTTCCAGTTGTTGAAGTTTGTCTTCTTTCAAATGTGGGAATGGAGCTATGGCTCCTGGGAACTGCTCCTGCCTCCTTTAGGACCTTGCCAGCCTTGAAGAGCTCTCTCAGCTGCTTTCAACCTCAGTTAAACCAGTTGTGAAGGGTAGACAGCACTTCCCACTTCCAGTCATCTGTTGAAAGTTACTTACGCTTTAGGTATCAGTACGATAGGCAATGCAAAGGAATCCCCCTGCCTACAGCTGGCATTGCTTGGAAAATAGGGGTGCAAAGAGTGGCATGTCATAGGAGCTTGGCCAGGGTGCTTTCTCTAATGCGTTTTTTCCTTTTGTGAAAGGAGGCATGGGGAGTTTAACAGTGCAGAGAAATTACATTTTTCTGTGCAGTTTTGAAGTCTGAAGTGTGGGTTTTGGTGGGGGCGTCATGCCATCCACTGAACTGATGCCACCTCCTGCCACAGCTCCTGTGGGTCCTGGGCACCCTGCCATCGAGATCGCTGCATTTAGGTGGGTTTCAGATGGGAGTCCTAGGTGGTGTGGAAGGATTCTTTGCTGCTTGTTCTGTACAGGATTGCTTCCAGTGCTGATATCTCCCAGGTTTTGTTACTTGGCAGAATGTTTGAATGGCTAGGTAAAACTTTACACAGAAACTTAGCTTCCATCTGGCATCATTTGAGCAGGAACGGTCCTTTAAGAGAGATTTTGCTGGAAAGGTGCTTATATTGATTTCAGCTATGCAGAATGTAAGTTTTGGTTAGAAAAACACAAGCATCATAGCTAAAATTTTAACACAGGGCTTGAAATCTTCCTTAACGTGGCCTTAAAAAAAGGGGGGGGGGCAGGTGGGAAGTTTGAACACTGTCGGTGATAAACAATTAAGAAAGCACTGGAATACGATACTGTGTATTTGATATAATTCTGTTTTAAGAAAGGATTGTTTTTCTCAAGAGTTTGAGGAGCCACTGGTAGGTCTTTAACTTCTCTTTCTGATGTGCTGAATTGTTGCAATCTGGAATACTCCAGAGGCCAGATAATGCTCCTCAATGAGGTAATGCTACAAAGATGTAAATGGAGGACATGGGCAATACAAAAGAACAATCAGTTCTTTCTGAGCTATTCTTCAATCAATAAATATTTAGCAAACACAATGTGCTAGCTCTATAATGCATTTGGAAAAGTGAGTCTTGCAGTACGTACATACTATAAAAATAGTAACGTTTGGTTCTGCAAGGATCAAGAGGAGATAAATACTCTGCTTTTGTTACTTAAATGGACTTGGACTTAGTCTCTCATGTTGAGAAACCAAGAATACTTCACAGTAAATGCGTGCCAGAACACAATTAAATGTATATTCTGTGCATTAAATTTACCAATTTAATATCCGTGGAGTTACTGTTTTAGCTGGAATGTCACCTGTTTGCAACAGCTTTTCTTTTAGCTGATGGGAAGTTCTTCTGTAGCAGTTTGAGATTTCTTTTTGCCATTGTGTTTTTTCAAATTCCTGTTAGAATATTAAACAGTGGAAGACCAGAAACCATATGTGCATGCATTTAAACAGGGCAGAACACATCTAACAGCATGCATGGGGAATACTTAATGGCTTTTCAGCCACTATGACTGTGCCAAGCATGCCTGGTCTTCATATGGCCACCACTTGAGAAGCTTGGAGATGCTGCATGTGCTGGTAGAGCAATGGTCTTGGAACTGAAACTCACCTGCTACTACTAATTACTGGTTTGTATTTAGCTGCTAACTCCAGACTGTCTGTATGTGAAGACCAAAGCCCGGTTGTGTATGTATTTTGGAGACCTGGTCTTGGCTGGTGAATAACTACCAGCAGTAAGTAGGTTGAGAGCTCTGTTTATAACCAGTCTTTGCCTGAGTGACAAAATTTGGAAAGCTTATAATGAACAAATAAGCTACTTATTTGTGTTGTGGAGTGAAATTGGTTTTAAAAGGGATTATACGAAGTCGTTGCTTGTGATAGCAGGGAAATGGATTTGTGAGCTAGGCACTCTTTTCCTGCTAGGTAGATTTTGTGGGTTTTCTTATCTGGGACAGTTAGACAAACTGACTTGATATCAGAGTTCATGTAGGTTTTCATTTTCACATTTTTCTTCTGTCCCACTACAGTACTGTAAAGTTAAAGGCATAATTATTTATTTTAAACAGTGCTTAATGAAATAAACACATAGAAATAAAATCTACCTTTTGGACTAATTTTGACCCAATTGTGTCCAGCTAGTGTTCAGCCTACTTAGTACACATGGGACGGGCAGTCTGTCTGCCCTTTCCAGACTAGCCAGAGGGAAAGTGTTGCAGGTAATGACATTGTTTGCCTGAAATCCCAACCTTTGTGTAGTTCAGCCTTAAAGCTGCATGAGATTTCTTCCGTCTGCAGTGTTGTGCTGTAACTCTCAGTGCAGTACCAGTAAGGATGGAGGGATGTGAAAACCAGGCCCCATGAAGAAGTCAATTATTTTTGGATACTTGTATACCAAAGTAACTGGGATGTTTACAGCTTTGATATGGTGGGTTCTGTTCTAGAGTCCTTTGTAAGATGTGATGTTAAAGGTTTGGTTCAGCCCACATCAGAGACGGATGCACTTGCATGGTAGCGTGGTTTTGTACAGTTTGGGAAGCACTGCAGGTCTTTCTAGGCGAGACCCTGCAGATGAGCAGGATTTTAAGTTAAGGGTGCTGGAATATATAAAACTGCTAGAAACCACGAAAACCAAAGTAGCCCCAAGACTGCTCCTTTGGGAGTAAGGGCTTTGTTTCTGTGGGAATCTCATTGGTGAAGGCAGACAGCCTCCTCATGTGTTGTTTCCCTTTCGTAGAGAGAGGACCCTTCGTGTGAATGTGAGCTGTGGCCCGAAGTGTCTAGGTGTCTCAAGACCCCAGGCGACTGTGCTACATATAAACTTCTTGTAATACCAGGGGAAAATTTTTTCACTCTGCATTGAGGGAAAGCAGCCTGGCAGCACTTGGAGCAGGGCAGTAGTACCACCCCAAGGCACTGTGGTGATCCCACTCCTCTGCAGGGACTTATGCTGGCCACAGGGCACCAGAGACCAGGATAGCTCAGGGCACAAGAGCGTGTTGCCCTCCAGGGTCTGTCCCTGTTACAAACTGCAGGGACCATGACACCACTTGGGAATGTCAGGCAAAACTAGCTTTCAGGGCTCAAGTCTGGTCTTGTGCCTTGAGACCTATGGTCCCTTTTAATTGCAGCTCTCTCTCCTTTTCCTTAACAGGGGAAAGTGGAAGTGGAGGCTGGGAAAGAGGGGATGAAGTTTGAAGCTGGTGCTTTTTCCTACTATGGGGTGATGGCCCTCACAGCATCGCCAGGTATGTCCTCTTACCTTCTGCTTCTGGAATGCGCTCCTGCACGAGCCTGCCCATCCTGAGAGTGCGGCAGGAGGAGGCTGCACAGGGCATCCCCCCGTGTCCGTGGGGCTGATGTAACAACACCTCCTTGCCAGCGAACCTGCCTGCCTGGACAGCATCCCTGGGAGGGGTCCGGGCCGGTGGCTGCGCCGACTCCGAAACCCAGCGGCTGGCAGCGGTTTGCCAGCTCCTGGAGGGTGCAAGTGTTGGCCTTAGAGAGTGATGTCTTTGGTACTGGAGGACAGCTTTGTAGTTTCGCTCAGGGATTGAATTAACGGGAATAAATAATTAGTGGCAGAGGGACATCTAGTGGTGCAAAGTACAAACGCCCCGTTAGTTTGGGTATGTGTCGCTTTACCAGTCTTGTTTCTAAAGCTGTCTTGAGGAAAAGGAGGGCAGCGGTGCAAGAAAAGTGATTGCTCCCATCAGCTTGTGTGGAAATGTAACCAAGAAATGGGCAAGGGGAAGAGCTGGTGTCTGAGGGTGAGGTGTGAGCCAGTTCCCACCAAGGTGTGAGCCAGTTCCTGGCACACAAGCGGTAGCCGCATAAGCCACCACCTCACAGATGCAGGTTGGGGGATTGTCTTGTAATCCACCAAGAGTAGGCTCCAGTGCTGTATTTCAGCATTTGGTGATGTATTTTGGTGCCAGCAGTGTCACCACTAAGATCTCGACCTCAGCTGGGAATCCAAAGCCCTGCTGGGGAGAGCTGGGGCACTGGTGCTGGCGTTGGCCGTCTGCTGGCCCAAAGCTGCTTGATCAGCTTCAGGGAGAGACATTTCTCATGCTGAAATTGGGTTCTCATATCACAGACGGGTTCATGTTCCACATGAGAGGCAGCTTATTTTAATTGTGCACTCATGAGCACTCCCTTTATGTATGTGTACCTTTGTGTATGTGCATTAGCAAACAGTGTTGGAATGAAAATGATTTTGTAGGTTATGAGTATAGCCTCGCTAAATTCTACAGACAGCAACAGATCTCTTGGACGCATGAGCTCACTTTTACAGGCGGGACTAATTCTTCCTTAATTATGTGCACTTTAATTTGATCAGTCTAATTTATACCTTTTGAGGCTTGACAGATTTGAAAGTGTGCAGAGCGCTTGGTGGATTTTATCTGAGTGATAGCAGCAGTGTTCACAAGGAATCGTGACACACTTGTGCGTGTACAACTGCATCACACCCTCAGCTTCACAGCTCAGCTTTTGCAATATGGGCCAGGCACAGAGCTGGGTTAGGCACGGTCACTTCTCCTACCAGACCTATACTTGGAAATCACTTGTGCATCTGTTTTGCCAGCATTGTTCAGTTTGAACGTTTTCTTGTGGGTTCTTTATTGTGTTGCTGACCCCTCACACACAACCACGCCAAGTTGCCCCAAGTCCTGTGAGGTCAAATGATCTCCTCTTTGCATGCCCTGAAATCCATCTTGGATTTTGACATGTCAAACTTAAGGATGTGCACTATTTTAAATTCATCTCGACCAACCTTGGATTTGTTTACCTTTGACTGGTTGGCTTTTACCAGTAGCAAACCCTTCATTTTGCTGGCTTTCCCTCCAGGTTTTTGAGAATTTGTTTTATGACGTCTTGCAATATCCTGAGATTTCTGTTAGGATGAGGTCATAAAAATAGATTCGTGTTAATGTGTGTAGACAGGAAAGCTCAGTGAAAGTATAAGTCATTGCAGAACAACAGAAAACTGCTGCTCTTCTGTGTGTCCTAAAGTAAAGAGAGTAAAGCATTAAAAAACAAAACAACCCAAAAAATCAAAACCAAAACCCAAAAAACCCCAACAAAAGAGTGAAGCTTTTTTCTTTAACTACAGCTGGGGAGGGATTTGCAGTAATGATGAGCAGTGCAGTACCCATCCTGACAGGGATTAGCTGGCAGAATCACAGCCTCGCTTGACATTTTACTGAAAATTGGAAGAATTGGTTTTATTTTGTCTGACTCCCATAAGGAACAGCACCGGTGAAGCTTGCTGGCTTGTTTTAACTCTTTGCCTTCCAGTCTGGAGTGTGCACTGCTGCTCCTTTTGAACTATTTTAACACTGAGGTACCTTGATGGGCTGTTCTGTGCTGGATAACCATTCAAATTAGCAAGTGAAAATTGTTCATGTCACTGTAATTCCTTAGGCTTGTTTTTTGGTTTATTCCTAAAATTGTTTAATTGTCTTTTTTGGTTTTGCTTTTGTTTTAACCCTTTACTTTTTCACAATTGATTTGCACTTTTGGTTTTAGTTCTTCAGTGTGTGAACTGGCTCCTTTCCCTGTTGAGTGTGGATAGCTGCCACCTTTCTGGTCGTGATCTCATCCTTTTTCTCTCCCTCTTCTAGTTCCCTTGTCCCTGTCTCGTACCTTTGTTGTCAGCAGAACAGAATTGTTAGCAGCAGGTTCTCCAGGTAAATCCGCATGCTTCTATTTTCACCATTCTTGTGACTGCCCTGATGCCATAAAATGTCAGCTGCAGTCTGTATTTATCTGACCCCTTTGCTCGTTAGGGAGAAGTCCAGCACAGAGTTATGCCTCGCAGGTAGGTATCCTGAACTTTCATTTATGGTAACTGGTAGCAACAAGACACAGTCATCAAAATGGGAAGAACTAAGACGTTGAAGAAAATGTATTTGGTAATGTGTGCTTGTTCTTGTTTCTTATATGTACGCTGGTAGAAAATTAGGAGAGGAGATTTTTTAAGAGACGATATTTTCCCCGAGCTGAGGCTTAGAAATTTCTGAAGAAAATGCATTTGGCAGAGTAGAATGTCTGCTGCTAAACTGCCATAAAAGGAAAACTTCTTTAATGAAAGAATTCTTATATTCTCATACGGGTAAATTCTATGGTTTATATACAGTCTGGCCATTTCAATTCCTCAAAAGCTTTGAGCTTTCTGTCAGTGAGGTTAATGCTGCGGAGCAGCACAGTGATTTACTGAGTGGATGGATTTGCAATGGAATGTGCAAGAAGGTTGTGGGACCTCCGGTGGGGTTTTCTGGTTCCCATTTTGCTTAAGGCCTTTCCTTGCTGAATAACCAAGTTGACTGACACAGAAATCCCTTTGGAGAGCAGAGACCAAGGAGGGAACAAATTGGGCCAAAAAGAGCTCTGAGATGTCGTTGAGCGGTTGGAAATTGGGAAGGGTCAAGAACTGAGCTTTGCAGACACTGCATGCACAGAGTGGTTGAGAAAAATGGAAACCCACCAAGAAAGTCTGTAGGAAGAGCAGAATCCTAAAATAGTTTGGGCCACAGTGAACGTATTTCTTCCTTTTGAAGTTTTCTTTTTGAGATGAAATGTCTTTCCCCAGACCTAAAAGCAAACAAGATAATGATATGCATATTTAAGTGAAACATCTCCTAAACATTAATACATATCATGCGTTTCATAAACTTTCACCATCTGCTTCCTGCTTTTTCCCCCTCTTCTTTTTTCACTTTTGAAAATGTGTTTCACCATCAGTCCTTAAATTAGTCTCATGCACATTCCAAACAAACTACAGGTTGTTGCCCTGTAGGGGATTTTTTTCCTGCCCTGTTGAAGTTTCCTGCTGGTAAACTTCAAATAAGGGGGAGAAATTTAATCTTTCTTTAATTAAAGTACCTGATGGCTTTCTTTTAAACTCAGTAGCTTTGATTATCTTTTTTAGCTTGTTGGTTCTTTTGTTTTGCCAGGTCTTCTTTTTTCCCCCCCATTTTCTTTTCATTGCTAGAAATAAGTGTGCACTTTGCACATGCAGGTTGTTTCCAATATAAATGCCAAGCATATTTTCCTAGCTTTTCCCCCCAACTAAAAAAAATAAAATTAAAAAATCAATAATGGAAGATAATAATGGGAAGAATCTCCTTTGAAATGAACTGATATGGTAAGCCTGGTCACTATGACAATGTAGTACCAGTTTTGATGAAACTTGGACCTTCTGCTGGGTCCTTCTACAAAAGGATCTTGTTGTTTAACCCCAAATTCATCATGCAGTTGTATTGATGTGTATCTTGTGGTTTGTGCTCTTTATCCCCTGTATAGGAAGGTGAGGAGTGTGGGAAAACCTGGGTAGAAAAGATCTGTCCATATTTGGGCTGCCTGCTAGGTGGCTGGCAGGGAGCTGTTCTGCAAACATGGACCTGCCTGGTGTTCATCTTTCATCTGCCCTTTCTGTATCCTTCCCTCTTCATTAACTTCTCTTCTCCCTCCCTGATGTGTATGTCCAGAAGTGGTGTCCTTTCCCTCAGATTTTTAGTAATCATGCTTTTTTGGTCTGTCCTTTTGTTTCACCTGTCCCTTTTTTTTTTTTTTTTTTAAATATATGCTTTGTCACCTTGCTCTCTGTCCTTCTTTGTTTTTTATTAGTAATGTGCTGTGAGACCCCTGGTGAAAAGAAAGGACAAGTACAAGTCACACTCGTGTAAAGCTGTTCCAGATGGAAACCTTTATCCCAAGCAGCAGCGATGCTGTTCTTGTCACATACAGCCGTATTTTGTGTGTGCAGGTGGGAAAGACAGGACAAATTCACTCAGTTCCTTGTTCTCCAGTGGGAATTACAGCATCAAGCCCTGTGTGCAGATAGAGGTTTGGCTCCTGGCAGCAGTTATTGCAGACTGCTGTGGCTTTCAAGATGGTAATGGTATGGAGGAAAACCATGCAGGGCTCTGAGTGCTTCCCCCTAAGCCTGTACTTGGTGTTGCTATAGGGACCTGCACTAATTCCATAGTGCAGAAATGGCAGAAAAATTGCCAAGTCGTCAGAACCTGTATTTTTCTGTTCCCTTTTCTGAAATTGAAGGAAAGACAACACCAGAGGGATTTTAAGTGGGAAATAAAAACCAGGGCAATTCTGCCATGCATCTGGAAGCATCTGAAGTGTTAGGTTTAGGAAAGGCGGGATGCAGAGACGTAGAACAGGCTGTGTGATTGCAAGGGCAAGGAGACCTTATATTTATAGTGATTAAGTGGCAGAGGTAGGGTTGAATTTTAGGGAATTTTTTTTTTTTTTTTTAGAAATATGTTTATATATAGAAAAGTCTTTGAAAAAGAATTTGAAAAGCTTGCAAGTATACTGTTGCTGATTTTCTCAAAGAGGCTTTGTATCTTAAGATGATATGAAAATGATCTTTCAGCTGAGAATGGGGTGCTGAGTAGCATAGTTTACATCAAGTTTCAGTTTGGGCTGGCTGAATGAAATTTAACTGCACTAAGATCCAAAAATACACCAGTCCCGGAGACAGTTCTTTGATCAGTGTGTGCACCCAGGGAGAAGCCCACCTGCAGGAGGGCTTGGGATCTCTCTTAGGATGCATTTCTGCCCTCGTGTCTTCTGGGTCACGGTGTGGGTGGAAGCTAGGGATGCAAAATGTCCACGGCTTGCTGAAAGAACTGTGGCTGATTGCACTCGCAGGGGACAGCTGCGAGGTTTTCAAGTGAAACCCTGCAGTGCTTAAAGGCCAGTGATGGAAAATCACATCTCTAGTTTACTCCTTTCCTGTATACAGATTTTTCTCTGTAGCATGGACTGTTTTCCCTGTTTTGCTGGCTGGCATGTACCACATGGAGCTTGCTCTCCTTCATTGAGGCTTTGCCCCCTCATGCACTGGGAGGTACTAGAGGAAGTGTTGAAGTAATCATCACGTGGACTGCACTCTGCTCCACGGAGGACTCTATCACCATTATGATTTTGAAAATGTCTGCTGTAACTCAGGGAACAAGGCATATGTAGGTACCAGGTGGAATAAAAGGGGGTAAGGGTTAGCTGGGACTGACTGTGGATGAAAGGTCTGGTATGGAGTTATGATTATAAATCATAAAAAAAAAAAAAAAGTCTATTAAGCATGGTCTGACTGTCAAGGGCTCCTGTAAGGGAGCCTTGGGAGGTTACCTTCTTCAGGTGGTTACCACTCAGCAGCTGAAGTGCTGTGACCGGCTGTGCACAGGGCATGCCCATTGCAGCATAAGCAAACCCAGGTTTGTTTAAGGCATACTCAGTGATGTTGGCTACCAGCTCTTGACTCAAAATGTACTCTTTTTCAGGGTAATTTGGTTGTTTAGCTGCATGTGTAGTTGTGAGCGGATTAAGTATTTGCGGTTCTTTTGTGCTACATTGTGCTTTATTATGTCCCTTTGAAACTGGTGACTTTAAATATTTTCTACTTTAATTAGAATTAAGAAATCTCTCACTCTTGCCTGTTTCTCAGCTGAAAACAAGTCTCCACCTCGGCCCTGCGGCTTGAATCACTCAGACTCTTTAAACCGAAGTGATCGCATCGATGCAGTGACACCAACGTTAGGGAGCAGCAACAACCAGCTGAACGCATCTTTCCTCCAAGTGTATGTTCCGGACTACTCAGTGAAAGCACTCACAGACATTCAGTTTGTCAAGGTAGGAAAAAAGCTGGAAAGACCCCACTGGAAAGCTGGGCTTGGCTGGTAGGATGGAGAGCCTGGGGAAGGGAGGTCCCTCTAGATTGCTCTGTGAGTAAATAGGATTATGAAAGCAGCCATTTAAAAATCACTTTAAATTACTTTTTCCCAATATCTGCTGTCCATTGATTTGTCTTCACTGTTCCTTTTGTTTAGGCTTGTAAGTAGATTGGTCACATAAGTTTCTGGATTTTAGGTCCCTCGAGGAAGATTATAGAAAATAACCTCTCTCTGCTTTTAGTCATGAAAGACATATCCTTGTGAAGCCTTTGGAGCCATCCGAAATGGAGACCCTTCATTATCAGACAGTGTCCTTTTCCTAAAGGATGAGACATTTTCTGTTGGTTGCAGTTTTTATTCACTTTTGATTTTGGTTTCAGTTTGGGGTTCTTGATCTTACTTTCCGACTTGTCATCCTTCTTCTGCTTGGAGAAGTCTTGGACATTTCTCTTTATCTTAACTTCACATGTTAGGCTAATGTCTCATACTACCAGTGAGTTGCTGCATGGATACAGCTCTGTCCCCCAGCATGGTGCATCCCACGCTGAAATGTGTGCGAGTCCTGTGGGATAGGAAATCTAGCTGAGCTGAGGAACAGCTAATGCTGGCAGCAATTCCAGCCCAGCTGGGAGTCCAGGGAAGCTGATGTCCCATGGCCAGAAGTTGACCTTGATGCTTTTCTTAAATTAAATGCACGTTCACAGTTTCTTTGTATGCAACTCCAATGATTTGTGAACTCAACTCCTGTCAAAGTTAATTCAATATGAAGAATGTGGAATAGAGTAGAAATGCTAGAATGCTAAATCGAGTATTCCATAGCCAAATTTTTAAAAGGAGAGCACAGTCTTGCATTCAAAACTTGACAGAAGCAAGTGTACTGGTCAACGGTTCAAGCCTTCAAGGTTTAGATCAGTAAGTATTTATCATTGGGCTAGTGATTCTCACTACAGATTTCAATGGCTAATGTGCTGTACAGAGCAGCTGCTCATAGTATGCTGGTTTATGTGGAGTCCTTCGAGCTCTCACTGTGTTCATACTAATGAATGCTAAACTGTCTGGTGTCTCTGCACTCAGACTTGTGCACCTCTCTTTGCATCACTCTGCTTTACACATAGGACAGAGTACTTAGCATTAGTGTTTTCACTGTGCCACATGGGCATTTATTGAATTAATGTAATCCGGGGTTGTGACCTGCTCGTGCATGTTTGGATTTTGCTTTTGGAGTTGCGATCTGCTCCATCTGATTCTCCATTTCCAGTCCCTCTCTTGCGTTGCAACTGAAACTTAGGGTTTTCTAAAAGTCTTGTTTCAGCTCTTATAGCTTCCTGCCTGCTGAGATAACCCACCACTGTTGTAGCACACGGGGCTGCCAGTGCACGTGCATCCTGCTGCCTGTCCTGGCTGAGAAGGCTGACCCGGAGGAGTTTACGGGGCTGGTTGCTCGTGGCTCCAGGAGGAATTCTCCCCGCTACCACAATATGCAGATACATGGGGCTATAGGCTTCCTTGCCTCTGGGGCATGGTGGGCAGTAACACTCTGCTCTAGGCCAGCTCCTGTCATGGCTGTTCTGCTGAGTGCAGCCAGCTCTTGCACAGACCAGTGGAAGACTTCAGGGGTTGCTAATTTGGACTCATCTCTATGGAGATCTCAGTCTTTATTCTAGAATCAAATGTCCTTATGTATCAGAATAAGGCTCCTGCTGCATTTGCTGGCCTAGACAAGAGCGGTAATGCTTGTACTCTCTGACTCTTTAGGGACTCTTAGAGCCTCACCAGGAGCTCGCTGAAGTTGGGAGAAAGGCTTCACTGAACTCTGGTTCAGGCCCTAAAAATGTGCATGGTTAGAAGGAAATGGAGATCTGATTTAAAAATCTCTACGTAGGAATAAATCCCTGCCTTTGAACAGCATGGTGATCGCACAGCTCTGTGCTTCCACCCCGTCTGGAAATGTCGCCATGCTGTGGTGTTGAGTTGGGATGCTCTAGGCTTGCAAAGCGCAGAGATATTTTATAGAAACAGGTAAAAAGGGGTTGAAGTGTGATCAGCTGGAAAGGGAGGGCATTTTGTTTTCTCAGCGTGTCCCACAGGAGACACAAAAGTGTGACTGGCTGTTTTTGTTCCTTCCTTCTGTTACTGGAGCAGATCTCAAGACAGCAGTACCAAAATGCCCTGATGGCATCCCGGATGGACAAAACACCTCAGTCCTCGGACAGTGAAAACACTAAAATCGAACTGACTCTTACGGAGCTGCATGACGGTTTGCCGTCGAACAGAACTGTGTGACTCACAACAAGCCCAACCACAGTATGCACAGTGAAGGAGCCATCTAGGAGCTGACTCCCCACAACCCACCCATCCCATCTCCTCAGCAGGACCAGCCCTCGCTCCTTCCTGCCTCGTCCCCGAGTGTGAACACCATTAGTACGTGCTTGCAACACTGTGCTGCATCCAGTGTTCTGAGACCAAAGACTTTTGCGTCCATTCTGGGAGCAGAAGAGGAAGAAACAGGAAGAAAGGAGCAAAGAGCAAGAGAGACTAAAGCCCCAAGCATACTTTGGGAATGGTGAGCCACCCTTGAGAACGATGAAAATACTTCTTGCAAAGTAGAATCATGTTTATTTTTTATCTGTATTTTTGATCCTTGTTGGGTTTTTCCTCCTCAAACACATATGGAGAAGTTTAAAAGCTCCTCCAGTTATTTTTTCAAGAGAGATCATGTTTTTAAAAAGTATTTTGCAGAGTTTTAAATTGTTTCTGTCCCTCCCAAACCTCAAATGGGCTCTGTCGTGGTTTTGTGAATTGGCTCCAATGTTCTTATGCCTCTTTTCACCCCTCTCTGGTCCTTTTTGTTGCCCTGTTGAAGAGGTTGGTAACTGGTACTTGTATGTTTTTTGTGTCGTAAGAATGAGTAAACTTCAAGGAACCTCTGGTTTCAGCCACCTGGAGGGCCAAGGGATTAGTATTATTATGTTCTTCCAGTTAAGTTTCAGGGAAGGAGTGGTTACTTTGGTATTTAATGATCTCTCAAATTTCAGAAGGTTTCTTTGTAAAACAGGCAAAAGCATTGTTACACTTACAGTTTTGTAACCTCCAAAAACTTTGTGTATGTTGAAGATGA